CGTCCCCATCCGCCGCCGCCGCCCGCTCCGGCCGCCGGCCGCCCGGTCTCCAGTGGGGCCGCGCGGACCGCGCGCTCCGGCTCCAGCCCGGCTCCCCCGCGGGGCGCGCCGGTGCAGGGGGCGGGGCCGCGCGCCGCCCGGGGGAGGGGGCCGCCTCTTAAAAGGGCGATGGCGGGGCCCGGAAGCGGAGCGCCGGGAGGAGGCTGCGGCGGGTCGTCGCGGCGGGGCCCCCCGCGGGGGACGCCCAGTTAAGAGGGAGTTCAGGGAGGCTGGGCCTTAAAGGGGCCGCGGGCTCCTCTCTGAAGGGGGGGAAAACGGCGCTCCGCGGGAGGGAGTGCGGAGCCGGGAGGCGGCGGGGAGGGGCAGGCTGGGCGGAGAGCTGTCAACCCAGGCACCTCCCCACACCGCCCCAGGCTAGGAGGTTGGGGAGCCAACCCGGCCCCTGCGCCCTAGGCCTCCGAAGTGGGGCTAACACTGAGCTTGTGCTCTCCACGTAGCTCTCGCGGATGGAGGGGGGTGCTGTCCCAGACCCCTTCACCCCCAAGAGCCTGGTTCTGGTCTGGAAACCCGACGGCCCGCACGCGGGAACCCTGTCTGTCGTGCTTCGCTTCTTCTGTTGGGCTGGACTCTAATACTCGAATCTTGCCAGATTGGGTCCTCTTAGGACCCCCGAGTCAGGGACTGTCCTGCCACCTTAATCTCAAAACTCACAACAGGGTCTCAGGTACCCAAGGGGCTGCACTGAACTGGTGGAGGGCATCTCCCAGCCTCCTCCTCCTTTGATCCTCTCCAGCCTCGGGATCTAGAGAATTGTCTTTTCCCATTGAGGCTTGTTCTCCCAGGCTACAGACAGACTCTGTGTTGGCTCCTCGGCCCCTCTGCACGCAGGGACTCTGCGGTTACCTTTCCTATCCCTTCACTCCTTTGCTTCTTCCTTCCTGTTTCCTTTTTGTAACTCACCGTGATTTCCGGGTCCCTCCTGCTTGAATCTTTCTGTGTTCCCCCCCCACCGTCTTTGTGAACAGCCTGGATGTCTGAATGGATGAGAGAACTGCCTGTATGAGTGTGTATGGGAGAGAAGACCGCGGCCCTGATGAAGCGGGGGCTGGGGGGTGTTCCTTCTCTGTGGCCTCTGCAAGGGCCTGGCTGGCTTCTGGCCCTGTGGGCAGGACTCCCTCTGCCCTTTCCACCTCTTCTCCTTTTCCAGGAGCCGTTGGTTTAACTTACCCGAGCCTTTCCCCAATCCTCCCGTCATCCCCGGGCACGGAAGCAGCTACCAGAATGAAGTGTTACTAGTGGGCTGCTGTAACCACGAGCTTCAGCTCCAGTCCTGGTGGAGGACCAGGTGGAAGGAAAAGCTTGCTTTTTCAGTTTCTGCGAAATTACAAGGACATTGGGAGTTTGGAGTGGTTATTGGCTTCTGTAGATTGATAGGCAGTGTGTGTGTGTGTGTGTGTGTGTGAGAGAGAGAGAGAGAGAGAGAGAGAGAGAGAGAGAGACAGAGACAGAGAGGCGGAGACAGACAGAAAGAGAGAGAGACCTTATTCTCAGGGCAGCCAGAGCTGGTCTTGAAGGTGGTCTGAAAGCAGACTGTAATATTAACATCCCTGAATTGCCATCAAATCTTATTTTCTCTTTTCTCCATTGCTCTCTGACTTCCTGGCAAAACTGATCACACCACTATCCCAAGGTGAATTATGCTTTAAGATCTCACATGAGACATATAGAGCCCCTTGATCCCCTTTCTGGAATGCATTCCATATTGCTTCTTCATATTGCTTTCTGTTGCAAATTACACTTGCTTTTTCTTGCTTGCTTCCCAGCAGGGTAGGAAAACAACATGTCACTCTTTTTTTATTCTAAACAATGACGTACTTGAAGCCCTTATTCAATTCCTCTCCCTCTTCTTCCCCAAATGAAACAGTGCCAGATTCTTTAACCTATCATCAATAAGCCACTATTTATTATCTGGATTTACATAGTGTCTTTTACCCCTGGAACTCAAAATGCTTTCAGATATAATTGAGCCTGATCTCCCCGGTGCCTGAACCATTAAGAAACCATTAGTGTATTCCTGTTGCCGGCAACTAAATGGCCCCCTAGTGGCCTGAAAGTGAATACGCTATTCTAAGTGCCTCTCCCCCCACCAAGGTTAGGCAGGGACTCTAGAATCAAGGCAAGTTTGAGGACAGAATGGACCCAAAAGGCCGTCTTTGGTGAAAATCCTCAACCGCCCTAGAGCCTCTTGGACGACATCCCCGTGGCGCACTCTGCAGCGTCAGCTAAATGACTGTCTCTACTGGTGAGCCTCATTGTCTGCTCCCTGAAGAAGCCCTTTTGGCCTCTGGAAAGGTTCAAAGCAATCAAAGCGGCAGCATAAACTCTGGTCTTGGTCTGTGTCAGGCACTAAGTCGAGAATCAGAATTATTTGCAATTTATCAGGTAGTTACTGCCTATCTCTGTTTTGTAGAAGAAACTGCTTCAGAAAGGGTTAAGGCACTTACCCCGGGTCATCTAACTAGAATTCAATTAAAACCCAAGTCTTCCTGACGCCAGGGCTTAGGCACTTGATTCTTGCTCAGCTCTCCTTGGCAGCACAGCCAAACCTTGTCTCTGTAGTGGATTTTGTGGGGCACCGGCCACGGCGGACCCCACATGTGTCCCGGGGTGGAGATACTCATTCCTCCAGCTGCCGAGAGTGTTGGCTATGGACGGCTCCCTGCTGCCACTGTCCCTGGGAATTGTCCCCAGGCACCAAAGGAAGTTGTTTCTTTATCCCCATCTACAAGACCAGTAAGTGGAGTGAAAGAGCAATGAAGCCCAGCCAGAGCTCTGCAGGGCCCTTGTAGGAAAGAGGGAAGGCCTTGTGCACCTTGCACCCTGAAAGAGCTGCAGAAGTAGATATTGTGCACTGGCAGGAGCCAGAGGCAGGGGTGTGGTGTAGGTTGGCGGGGTGTGGGAAGGGCTGGACATGATCTTAAGTTAGGGAGTCTGTCATTAATGGAAGCACTGGCCTGTGGAGCAGGATTTAATACCCTGACAAAGACCCTGGGAGACTGGAGAAATACCAGAGTAAAAAGGAAATGCCAGAACTGCCGTGGAAGAAGGGTTCAAAACACTGAGAGTTGGGGTGCCACTGTGGATAGCCTCTGTATGGCTAGAGGCCTGTTTAAGTCTGGTGAGAAGACTCAGTCAAGGATTCGACTGGGAGAAGCATACCAGTGTCGTGGAGCTTCTCCGTGTGAGCCATCCTCCAGAGGCCAGCAAGACACCCTTCAAGAATGGGCTTTGTGAAATAATAGAAGCTGGTTGTTGACATAGCTAATACAATGAGCCTCCAGTGTGTGTGGGGTGCTAGCGAGTACATCTGTGGAACAGGCTGATACCATGGCATCCGTGGGGCAAGCTAGCTGGCAGCTCATAATGTAACTGGGGTTCTCAGGCATTCTAGTTTCAGGTTTCCAGAGCTAGCCTTGGCAGCACACGCATATAGTCCCACTACTTGAGAGGCTGAGGTAGGAAAAACGCTTCAGGCCAGGAGTTCAAGTCTTGGCAACTGAAAGGCAGACATAAAAATATTGAGATTGGCCAAAACAAAACATAACAAAAACCTTTTGTTTGTGTGGGCTATTTTATTTATTTAAGAGTTATTAAGTTGCCAAGGCTGTCCTTGAACTCACAATTTTCCTGTCTCAGGATTCTGAGTTCTGGGATTACAGGGATCCCTGGAGTTCCTTGAACTTGCTACATAGCTGAGACTAGGCTCAAACTCACAGAGATCTGCCTGTCTCTGCCTCCCCGGTGTTGTGATTAAAGGCATGTGCCATTCTGCCTGGCCGGTTTCACATTTTTACAACTCTCTCTTTGCTCTATGGAAGACAGCTGGAGTCTTACTTTTACTTTTGCTGGCACTGTGTTCCTTCGGTCAAAATATATAAAGAAAATCTGGTATCATGTAGCTACGTGGTTGGAAAATAGAAGAGTATTTTAGTAGTCTTCAGATCCTTGTGGCTATTTTTTGTACTACACCAAATCTCAACAAGTCCTAAACGGAAGTTGCAATGCAGACTATAAAACATTATTACTATCTGGGTGCTGGTAGCAGCGGCGCAGGCGCAGGCCTTTAATCTAGTACTCGAGGCAGAGGTACGTGGGTCTCTGGGAATTCAAGGCCAGCCTGGTCTACAGAGTGAGTTTCAGGATAGCCAGGGCTACACAGAGAAACCCTGGCTCAAAAAACCAAACCAACCAAACAAAAAAAGTCACACCCCATTGCCGCTCTAGCCATGTAATTTTGGTACTTACTTGGTTAAAGTCATTGTCTGCCTTGCCCTTGGAAAGGCGCTTTTACCTATGCATGATTTTGTAACATCCTGTTTTGGCTATTAGGAAAATATTTATTTACTGACATATTTTCAAATATTGATACATTTAATTATGCATATGTTAATCATATTTGGTAATACTAGAAACAGTTCAAACCCTTGGAAATCAGTCATGGTCATAATACAGGGCATACAGGTTATTCCAAATTCTATTTATACTTGAAAGGTCAGGTTGTTATCATTGGCAACGGATGTCAGTTTTCCTTA